TTGGCTTTTCAAAGAAAGTCTAACTTGAATTTGCTCTTAGTAATTCCATCCTGCTGATCCACATTCTCCAGCTTCATCTCCCATACTGGAGGGTTGATGCTGGCATGTGAACCCACAGATACTTTTATTTTCATAACTGTTTTATGAGAATTCAGAACAGTGATCTTAGAAAACATTGAGAATTTTATTACTACTCTCCTGGGACTTTTGTTTAATTTTTCACTGGCTTTTTTGGGGGGAGGGGAAAGGGGCTGGTCCTTGGAATTCGGTTCCTTTCTGCAAACAACTCCAGCCCTTCAGGCTTTGGAAGTGCAGACAGCAATGCCCATGTCTCAGTTGCTTTCTCTGCACTCACATGTAAAACCAAGGCAATTGTCTATAATATTAGGGAGCTCGCTGGAAAATTGCTGTTATTATGTTGGTCAGATATGGCTCCAAAAGGGTAATTTCCTGCAGTTCATGCTAATATCAGGTTTCAGAGATACTTATCAGAGCACTTAGCAGGAAAAAATCCAGCCCAAAGAAAATGGTCAGCATCTTTGTGATTTCAGATCCTGACTCTCTTATTACACATAAACTCAAGAGAAAAAAAAAGTGTTTGGGCTGGGGATGTAGCTCAGTTGGTAGAATACTTATCTACCATGCACAAAGCCGGGGGTTCAGTCCCTAGCACATAGACAGCAAAGCTTGGTGTTATATTTCTGTAATCCCAGCACTGGGGAGGTAGAGACAGAAGCATCAGAAGTTCAAGGTCATCTTTAGCTACATAGTGAGTTTCAGGGTCAGCCTGGGCTACAGGAGGATCTACCTAAATAAATATTCAATGTTTATTAGAATGGTCATAAATATGCTTTGTTTTCTGTGATGTGAGTATACGAGCACATGTGTGTATGCACGTACTCTTACCTCACACTTACCAAGATGCTAACCAAAGCCAGTGACAACCCAAGAGCATGTACACAAATTTGTGTGGCAACCATCACAAAGTTGTCCATATTCTAGCATGGCTGACATGTTGGGTCCCAGGTCAGTAAAGATACAAGTATGAACTACGGTTGCAAAAACATTTCTTCTTTCAGTCTGTTATCCACCAAGTGCTGATGAGAACCCAAATTCTGTTATCCTGGGCGTCCCTCCTTCCAGCTGTCCAAGATTGATCAAGAAAGGCCTGGGGGCTCCTGTAATACTTAAGACTCGGGGACCATACACTGGTCATTGCTCACTGGTGTGCTATGGCACTGCCAAGAGCCCACCACTTTCATCCTTAGGACCCCTCCAGGCAAAAAGAGCCAGTGCTCTATGCCACGTGAAGCCTGTGACTTTTGATTACAGCTGGGAGCCCTGTTCTAGGGGTATTGATAGAACCGCACAGTCTCCCTGCTTGGCATTCTAGCTCTACACTTAGGATTGCCCTGCCGTGCTCATTCCACCGTTAGGTTCCCTTCTTGAGGACCCCAGGACAGTTCCTGAGGTGAGCTGGGCCCTGAAAGGTAAATACTCCTGAGTCATTAGACAGCAAATGGCCAAGTCACTTTGGAGACGAAAATGGGGAGAAGCGATACCTATCACTGCGTACCTCATATGTGATAATTTGGTTTTGTCATGGGGAGTTATCAATGAATGGAAGCAACAAGCCTGACAGGAAAGCCCAATATGGTAGGCACTTGTGGCTGTTTACATTAGTTGATTAAAAATTCATACAAAATGAGCACAAAGGTACATGCCTATAGCCTCAGCACTCTGGGATGCTAAGGCAGGAGGATGGGCCAGCATGGATTATATAGTAAGAATAACACACACACACACACACACACACACACACACGTAAAAACCAATTCATACAATTAAAAACTGGCTTTCTTGGCCAGATAACATCTCACGTGCAGCCTGGGGAAGGAGATCTGTTGGACAGCACTGGTCTGTCCTGAGCCACATGTGATCTGAGGCGTAGTTAAAGGTTCGTTTGTACTTTATTGTTTCCTCAGCTTGGCCCCGGCCATTTAAAAGGTAGAATGATGTAAGTGGAAAGCTGGGGCGGGGGATTCAGGGGATGACCCAGTGAGTCTAGGGGTGGGTGGGGAGGTAAGGTGGAGCTTGGCCTGACCTCTGTCTCTTTCATGTGGTAAGTGTTTCTGAGGCCCTTGGACAATCTCCTGGGTCCACAAATCCCTGTTTCTCTAAATAGGGATCGGAGGGGGTAGCTCATGGAAAGGAATCTTGGACTTCCTATGAGCACACAAAACAACATTTTACAGCTCCATTTCCCATGGGCAAACACCAGGAAGAGGGTATGGGACGAGGCATGGCTGGCTTGGTTGTCAGCTGTGTTGTGCATATTTAGCAGTCCCTGGGCAAACTGGCTAGGCTTGGACTGTCCTGGGGACTCAGAGTCTGAGCAAACCAAAGACAACTGAAAAGGAGTGTGGTAGGAAATCACTCATGTTCCATACCATCTGTATAAACCAGCACCCATGAGACAGCCTGACCGGCGTCAGGGAAGCGTCCTCATCTATATATCATTGTGTAGATGGGGTATGACGCTCAGCATTCCATCTGGAGGCCTTCTAATACAGGCTTTAATAGGCCTTATTTCCCTAGGTCTTTTTACCCCTGAAAAGATACTCCCTGCATTTCTATTAATGGTAGCCCAAAAAAATCCCTACCTTCTGTCTGGCAAACTAGAGACAAGGGGAAGTCATATGAGAGTTGGAGTTTGAGGGACATGGTGCTGGGTTTGCCTTTGGCTTTGAAAAGGTAGGAGTATGTGGAACTGTGCTTGCAAGGGAAGTCTTTGCCCTTTGCCGAAGACCAAGCCTGTTGTTCCTGTACCCCACCCCGCCTCCACCCCGGTTCTGCTGAGGTTGATCACCTTGCTCTCTACCCACCATGGGGGTTTTCATTTTCTCTCATCACCTCATTCAGGTTTTTACTTGGTGCACATCCCCACCCTCCAGGAATGCTGTGGCACACTCATCTCCATCTTTGATTGCTGTCTTTTGAAAATTGTCATGGGTAGCTTGTGTAACAGGTTGACCAGTGGGTCTTCCCAACAGCAGGTTTGAAGTTGGCACAGTTATTTGGAAAAGCACTTAAATAAATTTTGGACATCCTAGCCCTCAGGAAGGGTGGTTCCCCCAGCAGAGCGGACATCATGAAAGGACTTAGGTACATATGAAAATAGCTCCCTTGCTTTGAGTGTTCTTGAAGCCTTCATTTGAGTGACTTGCACCTTTTTGCTACAATTCTGAGACTTCTTGGGCTACGTTACCCTTAAAGGGTGTGTTTAGTATTTGGAATTACATACATAGGGAAGGTCTGGGACAGTACTGATTCATAATGTTTAGGGTTAAAAAGAGAAAAACCCTATAAATAGAAAGTTCTAAGACTTGTTTGCCTTTGTCTTGTGTGACTTTGTCCTATGTCCTTTGCTGTCTTTTTGAGCATGGGCAATAATGGCCTCCCAAGGAGATGGCTTCAAAAATGAAACATTACTGGGAGCAGAAGGTCTGTGTATTGGCTTTAAAGACTGTCCCAGGTCAGACTCTGCATTCAAGGGAACCAGTCTATCCTTGGCATGCCCATAGAGGAGAGCAGCAGTTCAGCCAAATCAGAAAATCAGAAAATGTCTGGTAGTTTTCTGTGTTCAGGTGCCATTCTTTCCTCTCTTTTCCAACCCCCCCCAACTTCCTCCCCTTCCTTCCCCTTCCTCTTACTCCCTCTCCCCCTTCCTCCCTCTCCCCATCCCCCTTCCTCCCTCGCCCTCTTTCTCCTTCCCTCTCCCTCTCCCCTTCTCTCCCTTCCTCCCTCTCCCTGTCCCCCTTCCTCCCTCGCCCTCTTTCTCCCTCCCTCTCCCTCTCCCCCTTTCTCTCCCTCCCTCCCTTTCCCTGTCCCTCTCCCAGATTACATTTGGCCTTCCCATATTACTTGTTCTTTCTTAGGTTCTCAACCTGTGCCTGTGGAGTCTCCATCCAGGTCCCATGACAGACAAGCTGTCAGTCTAAGGTCACCTTCGCCAGCAAGCACTGTGCTTTATAGAGACAGAAGCTAGAAGGCAGTTCCCAAACATGACTACAATTTAGAACCCCAGGATGTCGTGGAAAGCTCTGGGTGCCCTGTGCCACCCCGTACTGACCAATTCAGGATGCCTGAACATGGGAGCTGGATAACAGTAGGTTATAGAGCCCCAGGTGACCCTAACCTGCTTAAGAAACTCCTGTAAAGGAGGGAACTCACCTTTTGACACCTTGGCATAGTCACACTGAGCCCATCTTGCACCTTTGGGGCAGTGCTCTGTGCTAGGAAGAACACTGAATACAAAACGAGGCAGTCCCCACAACCTACCATCCTGGTGGCCTTGGTAAACCATTCACTTCCTATCAGCCTCATTTTCCTCCTCCGTAAAGTGGGTTAACAGAATACCTATCTCATAGGGGCATCTTAAATAACCAGAAAGGTGACAGTGAAATGCTATTGGAATCCTTATTATTATTGGTGGCTATCCTTTGATGAAAGGGCATTCTTTTTCTAGGTGGCATGGCAAGGCGGTTGGCCTGGCTATGGTAGCATTGACCTTTTATTATAAGCAAGAAGCTAGTGGCTATTTAGGACATTGATTTCTCCTGTCTGATAAAGAAGAGCAGTAAGAAGAGGGCATCTCAGCAGCGTCAAAAAGAAGCCAGCACTAGAGCCTGAGACCCGCTGTCTCTAGCACTCAGGAGATGTCCCCTAGGTGCATCTAAGAGCACAGCTGAGGAAAAAGGGTTTATGAGCACAGCTTCCCCTCACAATTTCTGTTCATTTGGATGTCACTCAAATGGTGAAACTAGTCACCCCCAGAACATCACTGACAAGCCTGCAAAGAAAGACAAATGGACATCCTATCCACCAGCCCCCACTGGGACATTTTGTCAGTGTGACCGTGTTGTCTCATACAGTCAGCATCATTGTCACTCTTTGGGGAGCACACAAAAGCATTTTTTTCCTTGACTTGTCCTCCCCAGAGACTTGAAGTTGGATGGAGGGAGACAGTCGGCGGGGTCCATGAGCTTGAAGGAGATCATTGGTCTTGAAGGTGTGGAGCTGGGTGCTAATGGCAAGGTAAGGCTGCCTGGCTTCCAATCTCTAAGATTTTGCATACCACGAGGGTCAGGAAGTAAAGGCAGGGAGCAGCTAGACCACTCACTTTCAAAGTTGGGGTGAGGTTGAGGCAGATTTCCAGGTGCATGGTACCAGCCTTCCTCAGTTCTGCCACTGTGCAGGCAGAAACCCACCCAGCCAGTGACACTCGAGCATGGTGAGAGGTCCCAAGGTGCATGAACTTCTTTGTTAATACTGTTTCCAGCTGATTGTGCAATACTCACATGGACACACATTCCAGATAGAGTAGTGGTTTGTGTATCTATGAACTAAAGGTGTCAGCAAGCAACATTCTAGCTACTTGAAAAGTTTTTGGCTTTTCATGGTTCCAAGAAGCTCAGAGCCCCTCAGCCTCACACAGTGACCAATGAGTAGCAAAACCTCTTTCCTCCACAATACAGTGAACTGCTAAGTCCAAGAAGTAAACTTTGAAAGATGAACTTGACCTTCTTGTGCTGGGTACAGGCAGTCTCAATAAAGACTCCAAAAGCTTGCATCTCTTTGGGGAAACTGTCCCAGTGTGCCTGCCCGCTGAGCCCACCTCACCCCCAGGACAGCTGGTTACCTCTATGTCCAAAAGACATCACTGAGTTCAAGCTGTAGGTCGGGTGCATGCAAGCACTTCCCGGGAGCAACTGAAAAGAAACACACTTAACCTGTCTTCATTCCTGATGGGTGAGTGTTCAGCTAGGAATGAGGGAGGTTGGGATAGATTGGAGTCATGAACAGCACCTACCAGGCGAGCACACGGCAGTCATTCTCCAAGATTCCTGCAGCCTGATATGTTCTGGAATTCCTCACAGTGGATTATAAGATGCAGTACAGTGTGTGCCTTGTGTATGACACAGCACCCCAACACATTCTGAGATAGCATCCCGTTGTCCTACACTTGAATATTTTTTGCTGTACAACAGAATCAGTTAAACTGTACATAGCCTAGAGTCCATTCAGGTGAGCTTTGGGCACAAGAATGGCACAAATGGGTACCAAAACAAGTGTTTTTCAAATCTCACTGGATGCTAGAATTGCACTTTTTTTTTTTTTTTTTTTTTTTTCGTTTTAAGTAGACCTGAACTTGGGGTAACAACAGAGATTGGTCAGAATGCAGCCTAACCTCACCCAGGAATAACCACCGATCTCATTTTTGTCTTCCCCTTTTAGACAGTTTCTTATACCCAGTTTCTGTTGCCCACAAATGCCTTCGGAACCCGGAGAAATACGATAGACTCCACCTCTTCCTTCTCCCAGTTCCGGAACTTGAGCCACCGCAGTCTCTCCATAGGCCGGGCCAGCAGCACCCAGGGGAGCCTTGATGCAGGTAATGTTGGCTTAGCAAGGACTGGTAGCTCATGGCAAGGGGCACCTCTGATTGCAGTGCAGATGGGGTCTCCCTTTATGTGGGCTCGAGGGCAGGTGTCCATAGGTGACATGACTTTGAGGGAAGCCTAATCTCAAGCCATGTAGTCTCAGCACACCACAAATGACCTCTCTAATTAGATGCTCAGTTACCAAGCCCCAGTGTCCTACCTATGTAGAGAAAACCAAGGCCTACTGCTCTGTGGAGAGGCTGGCCCTCCCAGCTTCCAGCTCCTGGTTCACCATGTACCATGGTGCTGAGCCTGGCGTTCTGTATTTTCCCAGGTAATTGGATCCTGAGATATAGGATTGAGTGAGAATTTCCTTTGCAGGAATTTCTTTTGCAACTAATGGTGTGAGTTGAGTTGTTGCCCACACGTAAGTACAAAGGTGAACACTCTGTAGGAAGCAGCCTTACTTCTTCTCTGAGAAATTTCAGGTGAAGAGCTACGAAAAGGGCTCAGTTGGTAAAATGCTTGCCGTGAAAGCACAAGGACCTGAGTTTAGACCCTGAGAACCCACATAAAAAACAAGGCATGGCAGCACATGCCTATAGTCCCAGTACTAAGGACACAGAGTCAGGCAGATCCCTGGGACCTCCTGGCCTAACTCAGTGAGTTCTGAGTTCAGTGAGAAACCCTATATCAAAAGATAAGGTAGGCAAGTAATTGAAGTCATCTAATTGAAGTCATCATTTATGTGTGTACGTGCACATAAATACACAAACTCAGCACACAGGAAAGAAATTCCAGGTTCATGTGAAGTTCCTCTCTGTCAGCCAGCCTCTGTCTCATGCCCTGGCCACCTGTGGTCATTTTTAGCTGTGTGCGCCAATGGCTGTTTGGTTAGAATATTCATTCACACACAGTAGCCTGTCTTGAACTATGTGGCCCATCATACTTGTGGGTGATGAGACTTGAGTATAGCAGTTGCCCTGCAAGTTTAGAGAATGAGCCTTTTGGGGATGGCTGTGTGAATGTTTGCATTCTTCCAGGTCGGGAAAACGAACACATAATTTGCCAGAGTAGAAAACATCACGATGATAAGAATTTTCCAAATCTTTTTGTGGGGGGTAGAGATATACCTCACTGCCATGCGGAAATGTCCCTAAAAGGTGATTCTGAGCCGAGTGGTTCTGAAGCCACCCTGTCTTCCATATTCTCCCAGCAGCCTGAGCCTCAGAGATTTCTGGGGCCCCAAATTATCACTTTGCTTGTGCCCTGCAGGAAGTGACCTGGGAGATTTTATGGACTATGACCCCAATCTCCTGGATGACCCCCAGTGGCCTTGTGGCAAGCACAAACGCGTTCTGATCTTTCCTTCATACATGGTAAGTACCATCGATGGCTGGCTGGTTCATTCTTGCTCACCTGGAATGTCCTGGGGTGGTGCTCAGGCCTTCACAGATGGGCTGGGCCTCTGCCTGGGGCATCTTTCTGAGGAGCTTTCTAGCAGTGGTTTCCATGAAAGCACAGAGGACCTGGGAATGACACTTTAGAGGGGTTGAGATGGCTAGGTTGCCAGTGACCGTGAAAGCTATAGCTCAGGTGGGAGGACCTTCACCTCTGAGGAGGTATGTCAAGACTGTATATATCCCGAGACCCCAGCAGGAGAGAACTCATCCTGTCCCTGAGAGCTTCAGGTTCAAGTTGAGCTATGTTTTGATCACCTCCATGACTGAAAGCCTTCATGTGAACAATTGGCATCAGGCTTGGGTGACAGAACTACCTCTTGGGAATGTGAGAGCAGGACCCTGAACTGCCAGTCAGCTGTGGTGCCCTTGCTCATCCTTTCAGTGTATGACCCCTGATGATTTAGCACATAGGTCAGAGTACTGCTGTGCCACACTGAGTAGGATGAACTTCCAAAGTCATTTCACTTAAAATGGCCCTAGTCCTCACTCTGCCACACTTCTCAATTCCTACAGCAAAACCATAGGTGTGTATAGTTAGTTTGGGGCTTTTTTTTTTTTTCATTCTATGACCTGTTCATCTGAATAACAAAAACGGGGCTTATTCATCTTCCCCAGCTACCAGCATGTAAGTGGTCAATAAACAAGAGCCTCTGCCCTGGTTAAAGAGCCAGTGAGGTGAGAACAGTAGGGTCTCTGGACCCTATTTTATTAATGAAAGCTCACTTTATTAACTAACCTGGGTAGAAAGCTGTGGCTCTGGGCCCTAGGGAGGCTCTAGCAGTTGACTGAAGTGGAACACTGGCTCAGGGCTCTGACTTTGCCTGGTCCTGTCTAAATGGCCTGTCCCTGGCAGTTAGCTGTGGGGCTGTGGACCTGATGGCAGGATATGGGGGCCATGCTTTAGGCCAGAAGTTGAACAGACATCCAATGTAATGTGAAGGTATGCTGCTTGTTGCTGATGGGTCTTGTAGGGATCTCTCTTATGGAAATGTTAAGTTTGGTGACAACACCCTCCTATTTGACAAGCCTGGCATTAAGCAGGTATCAGACCCCTATTTTTCCCTTCTGTGATTTCACTGTGAGCTTTGAGGTTCCAGGCCACAGTCTATGTGTGCATACACACATGCACACATATCATTTGTCCTCCTTGGACACTTGGATGACTTTCTAAGCCAGCATATATGTCCAGCCCTCCTCATTGTGAGTTCCCTAGTGGGCCATTTTTCATTTACTCACATTGGACTATGCAGTCTGTGTTTCCGGTAAGTGTGTGTGTTTTAGAAAATGCAATTACTCATCAGCTACATTTCTTAGTCCACTCTGTGAGACCTCTCTTCTGTTTTGGCCACAGACATTGGTACTTTTTTTTAAATGTGTATGAGTGGATTGCCTGCATGTGTATAAGAAGCGCACCTGTATCATGCAATGCCTGTGGAGGTCAGAGAGGGTGTCTCATCCCCTGGAACTGGAGTTACAGACAGTTGTTATCCACCATGTGGGTGCTGGGAATGGAACTTGGGTCCTCTGTAAGAGCAGTCTATGCTCTTCACTGCTGAGCCGTTTCTCCAGCCTCCAGACGTTGATACTTTGATAAAAGGCAGAACATTCACTCTCTAGTGTTGTCCCTTAAACTGTCAACAGTATGTGTGACAAGCAGCTTCAGTCTAGCTTCCCTGGGACTCAGAGGAGCCTACATGGGCTGTGTCTTGAGCATAGCATTTGTATTGAACTTGTAGGAACAAGAGCATAGATTTTTTTTGTATGTTTGCTTTACTTACTTTTGTATATTGGGTACCAGATACCCACATCCAACAAATTTGGTTGCCGCCTTACTACATGCCAGGCTGGTTCCTTCCAAATTCTGTGGAAAACTAACCAACCGCAGTTTCCACTCTCATCAGTCAGCCAGCAAGTAGACCAGTGACTATAGTCATGAGGAGGGTGTGGAAGGTGCCATCTTGGAAAAGTGATAGGTGACAAGGAGGGTCAGAGGTGGGTTCCCCATGTGGGAAGACGGGGGTGTGCAGGAAAGGAGGCCGAGACAGTAGAGGGATGGTCCTGTATCTGTCATAAGCCAGTGACTCCCAGGAGGGACAATGAAAGTTGCAACTTTTTGAACAGGTTGCTGAGGGCCCAAAAGGGTAGGAATGGGAAACTCTACTCAGACTGACCCAGCCACCCCAGCAGGCACATGTCAGGCCTGTGAGGCTGGGCTGTGCCATCTGCCAGCCGTGCGCTTCCTGCTGTCACCTCTGCTTGCTCATGAAAGTAGGTCTTAGGGCCTCTCAGCTTGGGGATCCTGCTCTTATAGCTTACATTCCCTGGACCCCAGCATAGTCCCAGCTAGACCAGCTCAGGGCAGGACCAGAGCCTGAGACCCAGGGACTATTGTCCAGTATTTGGGGATGTGCTGTCCATGTGGAATTTCAGACCGTAACGTACCCATTTTAGCTGTATAGTCTCATGAATTCTGTCACTGCCCTCGGATCCAGATATGGGGTCTTCAGTCTCTTTACAAAGTACCTTCTTTCCACCTGACTCTCCCCAGCCATCTTCCCTAGAGCCCCTCTCTTCTGACTTCTGGCACCATTAGTTTTTCATCTGTTCATGGAAGTTCATGTAAATGAGATGATAGGGTCTATGTTCCTCTTTGCCCATCTTTCTTACAACTTAGTATCAGTGAGATTACCCACACATTTGTCTTCTATTGCTGAGCAGCATTGGACACCATACAAATGTATCCATTCTCTCCTTGACATTCAAGTTGTTTCCAGTATGGGAATATCATGAAAACTGTGTCATGGGTATTCTTGCACATGGCTTTTTGTGGGTAATAATGTTCTGTTCTCTTTGGTGGGAGACCAGTCATTTGATATTAACCAGCCAGGATGTAGTTAGATGTGTATTTTCATTGTTGTTCTAAGTGAAATGTAAAAGCACCATTCATTGTCACAGTCTATTGGAATGTTCCAGAGGTGAAGTTCATCACTTCCAGAGAGGAAGTGGCACTCTGTTCAAAGAGGCCTTGTACTCTTGTTACATTTGTAGTTTTACGCTTTGACCCAGACAGGTCACTCTCTCTCTCTCATTCATCATAAAAGGGGAAAAGTGAGATGTTGGCCTTGAAGAAACATCTGGGGCCACTGTGCAGCAGCCCCTGTGGTTCAGCCTGCAGGTTTCTAGAAAGTGATCACAGAACATGAAAGCTTGTCAAGCCACCTGGCTGCATGCAGGTTCTTGTAGGGTGTTAGCTAAGGTGTACCCAGAGGGCAGGAGGACTCCTGTCAGGACCGGATGCTTCGGGTATTCTTTGCTACCTGGTATATAATTAGGTTTCGCTAGAGAGTGGTTATTTATCATTAGAACCTGGCAGCTCACATTGGAAGTGGTTTTCATTGTTTTTTTTCTCCCTTTATGGGTGTGGAAAGCAATTAAGAGGAGAATGTAAGAGAGCTGAGGTAAGGCCAGCAACATTAACCCTGTGTGAGTGGGTCTTGGGATCCTCTTCCTTCTTGGGAAGAAATCCCTCTCACACTGCTTTGACGTGAGAGGGGAGCTGATGGACATCCTTTACAGTGTCTGTAGATATACACAGCTCAAGAGAACACCTGTTGGATGTCTCTCCATGATAACGTGCCTGCGCTTTCATTTAGCCAGTGTCAGGATCTGAGTCCCCAGTGGCAGTCTGTGCCATACCCCTTCTCCCCCAGTAGTGGAAGTTTATCAGTGGGAATAGAAGACTCAGTAAAAGGATGTACTCAGCCTGCCCTGCTTGAGCCCCCACCTCCTGATATATATATTTTTTAAATTGTTGTTGCCTGTTTTCATTAAGAGCTGTTTTGGTGACTTAGGCACTCACCTGCTGGCAGAGTAGATTTGTTGAAGAATTAGAGCAGCTTACATCCTGGTCCCCTCCCTTCCAGGCCCTAGGGTTTCAGCATGTCTAAAGCTTACTGTGTTGACAGGGAAGCCACTATCAGAAAAGTAATGCCATCTACAAAAACATGGCAGGTTTTTTGGAGGGGGCTGGAGGGGAGGAATTCCCTGAGTCTTGAAAGGTCCCCTCAGATGCCTGGACAGTAGCTAAGGATCAGGGTCTTTGAACCCCTTCCAATTTCAGATGTAAATACTGTTAAAATGACTTTTGTTGGGGGGGGGATAGTATTTTATTAGATACAATTTACTTACAGTTCACCCCTTTAGTGTACTACTCAGGGAATTGTTACATTTATTTATTGTGTGTGCGCACATGCCAAGGCATGAGTGTGGAGGTCAGAGGATGACTTGCAGGAGTTGGCCCTCTCCTGCCATCATGTGTAACCCAGGAATCAAACTGGGGTCATCAGACTTGGCACACATGCACCTTTATCTGATGAACCATCACTGGCTCAATTCAGAGATCTGGTTTAGTATATTCACAGAGTTAGGTGGCTATTACCACAAGCCACCACACAACTGTTCAACAATTGCCCTTTATAAGATATAACCTCTGCCGTTAGCAACCTTGGCCCTGTCTTTATGGATTTGCCTATTCTGGAAGTTCCCCATGAATACAATTACATACAGATATTTGTCCAGATCTGGCTCATTTTCATGTGTTATATGTATAGGTATTGAATGTTTAAGTCATTTATGTTAGAGATTATAAGATATGCAGCAACTAACTCTGCCGCTGAGAGCACTTCACATAGCATTGTGAACCCACAGGGTAACATAAACCTCAGCCCACCCCATGTCAGTGAGAACTGCACACTACCCCCTTCTGGGAAGGGAGGGAGAGTAGATCCAGGCTCCTATGTTTAGAATCCAAGGGCTAGACACAACAGCCAAGGCAACCCCAGGTTGCTTAGGCTGCCCACCCATGCCCATAATGCCCTTGTCATTTGCTGCTGTCCTCAGAAAGAGGATTAAATGCA